AATAGTGATGGCACTTAAAAGAAGAACTGAATTGTTGCGCTGTGAAGTTAATTATACATATATTTGGCTATTAGTTGTCTCTCTTTAAGTTTTTTGTATGACTATAAGGTCTAATATAGAATTATCTGTTTTCAATACGCGTTTCAAAATATATGTATCCATATTTGATGCAATCTCAAATCAGTTTAAGCTATCAAAGTGATTCGTGCTCAATATTTTGTTTATTGGCCGTGTAATAGCAGAAGTACGATACCTAGATTAGAACATTAGAGGAGAAAACTTTCAAGAACAACAATAATTAATAGTATTTTTAGTGAACACTAATTTTTACAAAAAGTTTTGGTTACAGTTACAAAATGCGAAAATACACGATTAGTTAGTTCCTACCTGTGTTGCTAGTTGTCGTGTTGATCGACATTGCCATCTCAAATATTTATTTTATCCATGTTTCTGCTTGTTGTATGTCTCCAGAGTGAAAACGCGACTTGACTTATACTTTTTGTCTTATGAGTTTTTGTAAAAAATGTATCACAAAATCTTCATAATTAGCCATTTTGCTTTTTTTCGATCAGCTCTGGGTTCGACTGGAGCTAGAATATACATACTGTTTGTGCGTACACTTCAAGGCTGGGCGACAACTGTTAGGGAACATGAAACAAAAACGTTTATTCAGAATTCTTACTTTTTACTCCATCAACTTGTCATTCGATCTATGGAATCACATTCCTCCGAATTTATCTCCATACTTTTTAAATCAGAATTGAATAGGAATTACTGAGTAAATCTACTTGACATTTTTGGGTGTTGTTGTTTTTTTAGGAAGTGTTATTCACTCTAGAGGAAGGTTCAGGCACTTCCGAGCAATCCTAGATCATTCTAGTTTGCAGAAAATGAAAATACCAGAACTTTTCCAAAATTGTCTATCTCGTGCTGAAAAATGTTACATTCGAATAATGATTCTATTTGATTTCGAGCTCTGACAGTGTACTGGACAATAATCTGCGGACTAATTTGACAATCATCAAACAGTCAGAAGTTTCTGTACGAACAGTGGATCAGTTGTCGGTAATAGGTCAAGGCTCCCTCAGCCAACTCGTAACGTTCTCGTATACGCAATCTATACGTATACAGTCAGTGATGTGTCAGTGACAGCTAACTGAATAAACTAGGTCACGACTTGTCGCCGACTGTCAATTTTCTGATTGTCAGCAAACAGGCTGTACGAACAAACCAATAAACGTTCGATAATTCCACTTGTTAGTACAGTGCATCGTCTTCCAGTAGTACATAGGTCCAAAACTGTATTTTGTTATCGGAAATTTAGAATAACATGTATTTTCTTGGTAATCAGTATCCCTTCAATCAAAGTACCGACGATATGCCCGAGGTAAAACAACAACTCTAGACTTTAAGAGCAACGTACGATTACTTTTATCAATTGCTTCGTTTTGGATCACATCGCATCTGATTCCTCAAACATTCTCTACTAACTTATGATAATAGTAAAAGCAAATTTTGGAAAGCAGATGTATTTGAGAATTTTCTAACAAGATTTTATCTAGCTTGCTTTGTTTGTTGGTACGTCTGTTGGTATGTCAGAAAGTGAGGGACATATCTTGAAACTGAATTTTGAACCAGTTAACCTTAAAAAATTAAGCTGAAATTTTACATACATGTTTGATTCGCGTGAAAATACAAAATATATTAAGTGCCTCCATGATTAATCCGTTTCATTCGATCGAACTGGGACCAGGTTTCCCTAGGAGCAATTAGGGTCCAGCTTGAAATAAGCGGTGTAAATTCACACACTCATGCTGAGACGAGGCCGATATAAAAGCTATTCCTTATAGCTACTAAATAGTAAAAAATAAATATAATGAGAAAATGTATTTTTAAAAACAATGTTTTATTTATCTGTTAAACCCAACGAATTTAGACTAGGTAGAAGGAGCAGTCAAGGATTTGTTTGTATCCTAATTTTTATAGTCAGTAGTAAAGATCAAAGTGCACTTGGCATAAGTCAATTTTTTAAGTCTGTCATTAGACTTCTATGTTTAGTATTGTTCCTTTTTTTAAAGTGAATGTAACTGCGGTGCTAGGACGATTTGAAGATATAGTACTTCTTACAAACATAATAAAGATGGATGATTCCACAGGGTATTATAGTATTTTCTTAAAGCCCTATCACTTTGGTAAAACCGTTCGTTAAGCCGAACAAATAATTCTGCAATAATCATTTCCGAATGGAAATATGCGATACTATACTTATAAACCTTTAAACAATAGTAAAGTTCCTTCATTTCAGATTTTCACGTAAACGTGTTTCATCCCTTTGTTCCCTCTCTATGGTAAACATAGTATGGTTTTGTTTGAAAGCTTGACGCGAATGAGCTTCACTATGTTTTTATAGGTTTAAAAGTATTTACAAAGGTTTAGATAGTTCTAACAGCTAAGCAAAAGCTTATTTGGTAAATGTATTTTTTTAATTTAATTAATTAGCCATAAGTTTATTTTGCGCCACCCTGTACTGTATTCAACATTAAATTTTGGCGCATCTGTGTACACATAATGTATAACTTGTACTAAAAGTACTCCAAGAAAGCATATGAAATTACGGTACGTTCACCGTTACATCGACAACAAAAGCCAGTGAACTATTTTAAATCAATCTTAAGAGCTTTCTGACAGCAAGCGATAAACCAGCTGAAAAATACTAGCATGCGACAACTTATTACTTTTTACCAATTCTGTTGTGCATTACGCCAGAACTGTACAATACCCTCATCGTGCACTAGCCTGTGGAGATCATAACAGTTTGCTTCCTAAGGGATTGGTGTTTACCTTGCCAAAATAGGAAGGGGTGGGCAGATCAACCATTCAATGGGCCACTCTAGGTACTGATAACAAGGGAGGAGTTGTCTCACTTTTCACTAAATATCGGTCATTAGTAAAGTTTAGCTCATTACGGTCATCTTCGACTGGCCAAATGTCCCGACTACAGTGAGACCCTTGAGAGTGCAGGAACTTACACCGACATGTTGCAGACAGATCCTACAGAGTACGAAGATGAGAACTACAGTTCTCCAACGGAATTAAACCTTATGAAAACAACTTTGTGGTGAGTAGATGGAAAATTTACTCTAGTTTTATTCATAAGCAAAATCACATGTCATATTCAAAACCTGTTACCACTGTCAGGAAGAGAAACAAAATAAGTTAGGCCATTTTAACTAGTAATATACATTTATCGCATCGAACCGAAAACCTTGAGTTTTCTTATTGCGATAGTGATATGTTACTTCAAAAGGTTTTTTTACCCTTTTTAGCTTTCACAAGATCTAGACAAATATATGAGCATCTTATATTTGTAATTGCCGTTACGTGAAAGTAGGATATTTGAGCTGTTGTTGGATTAAATCTTACCTGCTGTATACAGGGTGACTTTGAAGTTGAGTCATTAATTTTCAAATAATGATTGTAGAAGGAAGATAAACCAAAATATGTGTGTAAAAATAAAAAAAATTAAAAAAAAAAATTTACCTTGTTTTATAAAGTATCCTCCCGACAAGTATTTCAGTGCGGACCTGTATTTGATCGTGAGGTCTTGGAGCACCGGCATGCCGTCCATATGTGAGATCTTAAGTCAATGATTCACGAACCCGTTGTACTACATTAACAAGGCACGAGGGGTTGGTTGCACTCGATTGGGAAACCGATCCGCATAAACATGTGCCATTTTTTATTTCGTTTGAGCCACGTAACAGACACCACTATCCACTACCGACTGACACTGACTGTATACAACTGAATGAAATAATTGTAAAAACATCATTCCAAATTCTTTCGCTTTTTTGTTTCCGATGCGATGAACCGATAAGGCGAATTATATCCGTTGTCGCCAAACACGAGCACATAATATTATTATTGAGACAGGGCGGTACTCAAACTTCCAAAGGGCTATAACTTTGTTACTTTAATTTTACCAGAAAAATGGTAAAGGAAAAAAACATTTCTTTTGATCAGATCTACTCACTGTTAAAATAAATTACTCAACTTAGAAGTCACCCTGTATAGCTTTTGCAAATAACAACGGGTATCAAAACAATAATTTCTCAATAGAATTTCAAATTCTGAACATAGAAAATAAAGTGGTCAATTCAGTGCTTGCTTCCCTTGGTATACCTGTATACTCAAGAAATATAAAAAAAAACAAAACTTCATTTTCCTTTACAAGTTCTTCACATGAAGATGTATCGTTTTATACTTTTGGTACCATGGCATCATTTTCTGCAGGATACTCGTTCATACCAACTATACAATCGTTTTGTCGCTTCAGCGCAAAAAGTATAGGCCTACTTTAAATAACAATATTTCTTTGTTCCAGTATCTGGATCTACAACGGCCAATCGACCAGCAATCACCTTTGGCATTGTCATCAGAAGAGCCCAAAGTTGCTTTCGAGGAGAAACCGCTCCTGAGTGTCCGCATTCCCCATGAATGCACAGGCAGCCAGGGTAAAAGATCGACAGGCAAGTCAGCACTATAGTGATAGCCAGTATCACTTTTATTTTAAATACTATGTTCAGTAACCCACGAAAAACTATATACACAAATTCAAATTCACAGAAATATACATATCTGCATAAGAAATGTGATAGTTGAATATGAAGATACACATTGCCATCACGTGGGTAGATTCACCCATAACGTAGACGAATTTAATAAATTTCCTTTCTAAAATCTCCATTTTTTATTAATCGTTTCTAAAAAAGTTCCTGAGCGACTGATCTTCCAAAACTTTGTAACGTGTTGGCCCATAGAAAATTCAGTACATTGGTTGCTGAGATTACGTGAACAAACTGGCGGCAAGTGGCTAGAATTTTCATGGTACAGTTATCCCAGAGCGCCAAAGAGCACATTGTTCCAAATGAATGAACATTTATTTGCCAACGAGGTTTGATTCCTTCAATATTACCTGGAATAAAAACTGATAATCACTGATGGCTAGACAAACTAAGTGTCATTTTGTTTCGTTCCAGGTACAGAAAATAGTTTCAACATCAGCTTCGAGCAGACCACGGCCAAATTCAAGCGGAACCTCCAAGGCGAAGCGAACCAGAACCGCGTATACCGCACACCAGCTTACACAATTGGAGAAACAATTCCACACTGAGAAGTATTTGTGCCGACGCCGACGCATCCTAATGGCACAGGAATTAAGTCTCACGGAACGCCAAATCAAAATCTGGTTCCAAAACCGGAGGATGAAGTATAAAAGGGAAGAGAAACAAAGAGTGTCATCTCCTACTCTGAAATTCGCTTCATCCGCTGCTAGTCCAACTACCACACCAGGAATCCAATCGATAAGACCTAAACACCATTTGGTGACAATGAGGCAGGCTGGTCATGAACGTGCATGTCACCGATGCTACCGAGAAACCAGAGGGAAGATAACGTTTGGTGTAACCAGTATAGTTCGTATCAACGTCTCCAACTAGATACGAATTATTATCAATACATGCCTCAGAATCATAACTGCTATCGTGTGCACGTCGAACAACCTGTGGAGAATAATCCATCGTGTCAGCCTTGCCTCAACAACCATCCCACCTCAACAAGTACAGAACAGCCAGATCAATCTTTGGAACAGAAAAATGAGTATTCTGTTGCTTGGATCAACCAATGCTTAGGTAACGAAGGTGCCACTGAGAGTCTCATTAGTTTATAAATTGATTGTACTTGTAATGTCTCAATAAAAATTATTTAGGGTGGGTTTCACCAAGGTTGTCAAATCAACAGTCCGTTATTCTCCACCTATAGGGTAACAGTCCGTTAAATACACGAATGTGCTTAAAGTTCCAATCAACAAATTTTAGGAACCAATAACTATGAAATGTTGAAAACAAAATACTGTCAAAGTATGAGATGACATCTTGTCATTGAAACATCACCAGCCTATTGAGTATTAAGAACTTACATATAATTCAGTCATAATTTAAAGAAATGTTTGATTTTTGAATGAAATTCATGTTTTAATTACCATTGTTGACTTTTTATTCATGTTTATGTTATTTTTCTTCAATTGATATGCAATTTTACTGATTTAACATCACCTCCCGTATTTTTTCTCCAATAAACTTCTTGCAGATAGCCACTAAGCACTTACTTGATGACAGGCTCTACCAAAAAGTTCATAGATATTGCTCGTTTCCAAACATTCATTCATTTACTTGCCGTTCATCCGAACCATTATGGCACCTTAGATTGGTATTCCTACAAAACCATTCAGGTCTTTTGATATCCATACATCCATAAAGTTGAATATTTTCGTTGTTCAGGAACTGAACAAACATCCACACTATATTCATAGCGAATAAGAAATTCACAATATATGCCTTAAAGCTACCAGCAAACCTAAAACCTGCAAAAAACTACAAATTTTCCATATTTTTCTTTTTTCACGAGTACACATTCTAGGTTATATTTATATTAGACATTATTTGAATACAGCTGATTATTGCATTTCAAGACTCATCGAGTGGCACATGTGTGGGATCTGTCAACCCTTGGTCCCAGTCACAAAACATATACTCTGAAGAAGGTTTAATTCCATGCTGTTCAATGACAACACGGTGACTTGTCGTCACCCTTCCACATTTTACCAAAAATTAGATTTTCATGCCATCTTTTAGTTCTAAAGGTAACTTCTCCGTGCACAAAATATCTAAGTCCCGAAACTATTATTTACACGTTAAAACTCGTCAACGCAATATACGTATCTCCTGATACTGTTTAGTGTCCCGCGAAAAATGCGTAAGCGCCCAGTCCCTATAGGAATAGTGCGGTTTGCGTGTCAGTACTTGTCAGTCCGCACATTTTGTTATTCTTAACGTGTCTAATTAACTTTTGGAGAGCTGTTTTTTGCAAGGTGGATGGTAAGTACTACAAATATGTTATATCAGCGTTTAAATATTCAGCATTCGATCATAATCTTTATAAATGCAATTGTGCATGACACTGGAGATACGTAGTTTTCCATAACCTTCCATATTTCTCTACAGATGTCATTTTAGGGAGATACATAGTTTGCGTACAATCCACTAGAATAAGTTCATAGATTATCATTTTGTTTTCTAATATTTGTTTTTTATCAAACCACAATAGCTGTCTAAAATAGTTTACTGACATTTCGGCTGCCGCATAATGAATTATATGAATTAAAGAAATCAAGAAACCAGGTAAATAGATTGATGAAAAATGATCCATAGTCATGTCTTAATTCAAATGTGTTTTTATAAAGGCAGCCGTGGAGGGTTTTTATATTTCAAATTAATTTAAATCGTCATTCTATTATTTGAGAAAGGATGTGGAAGCCTCACTGAAGTCCTTACCACCTATGGTTTTGATTGTTGCCCAGAAAAATCAAGATAGAATAACCACGTCTTTTATGAGGTTAAAAATCCTTATTCCCAACATTGTGATTATCTTTTGTCCACAGATCATTCAGAATGTCTAGCAGAGCCAGGAAAATATTAGATATGGCAAGAGAGGGAATCTATGAGGTTGGAGATAATGGAATATGTAATCTGATCAGTTGTGCAGAAAATAGTATTGTGGAACCAGGATTTGCCACCCTCGAAGATGTAGTTTACCCCCAACCAACACATGATCTGTTTGATTCAGCTATACAGGAATTTCACCAATCGGTACCAGCACTAATTGACGGCATAGGGCAGTCTGGCAGCACACAATGTGACACATTACAGTCCAACGAAGAAGTTAATTTGGTTGAAGGGGAAAATGAGAACGCTGCATATGACACGTCGCCATCAAATGAAAATAGAGTTGATTTGATGGAAGAAGAAAAAGAGAACGCAGCATATGGAATGGAAGAACAAACAGAAGAGTTGTTCCAGAGAAAAAGGCTAAGCGGCATAATCTTGACCAATCAATGTGGTTAAAAATTAGAAATCAGGCGAACCGCGAAAAGGGCTTAGCATATAAAGGCAAAATGAAGGTTGGTGGAAAATGGAAATATGACAATATAACAACTAAATCTAGTAAAATAGGGTGTAGAAAATTGACTCAGGAAAAACCGAGAATATATATTCAATATATTTTGGAACCACATGAATTGGCAAGAGAGAAAAATTATATCCAGAGTTTGGTGAAAATTGAAAATGTAAAAAGAAGAAGGGGAGCCAATGAAAATAGTCGAAGAAACTATTCACTAAAGTACTACCTTAAAGTCGAGAACAAAGAATTAAGAGTCTGCAAGAAAATGTTCCTAATACTATGAGCATGAAGGAATCTACAGTATTAAACTGGACGAAAAGTGACAAATTGGAAGAAAATGAAAAGAGACTAAATAATGACAAAAGAAAACAGAGTAGGAGTAAAATGTATGGAGGAAGATACGAGGCACTAACCAGTTTTTCGATTCATTACCGAAAGTCGAATCACACTATTGCCGAGCATCAAGCAGCAAACTGTATTTGGGACCGATGTGGGCTTCAACAAATCAGTTGTATGGCTTTTACAAACGTCATCATTGCCCTGACAGCGGTGATGAACCCGTATCACGAACGATCTTTTTCAAAGAGTTCAATAAACGAAATCTCTCTATATATGTTCACAAAAAGGACCTGTGTGACACCTGTGTTGCATACGATGCAAAAAATTTTCCAGAGGAAGAATACGATTTACATCAGGTAATGAAAAAAGAAGCTAGAGAAGAAAAAGAGAAAGATAAGAAGTCATCTGCTTCAGTCTTTACGATGGATTGTAAGCAGTTCTCCTATGTCCAAAATCGACGGTCAGCGCCATGTATTATAAGACTAAATTGATCGTCCACAATTTTACATTGTATAACTTAAAAACCCAAGACGGATACTGTTTTTTATGGAACGAGACGGAAGGTGGCCTTACGTCAAACGAATTCTCATCTATATTGGCTGACTTTATAGAGAACACTATAATTCCTTCACTACAGGAAGAGCAAAAAGAAATAATCCTATATAGTGACGGCTGTACAGGGCAGAATCGAAACTCTATCCTGGCGAATACTTTGGTTAACATCGCAATGCTCCATAAGATCACCATCATCCAAAAATATCTCGAAAAAAGGGCATACGCAAATGGAAGTCGACTCAATGCACTCTTGCATTGAGAAGAAGATTCGGAACCGTAAAATCAATATACCTGCTGATTATGTGCATGCCTGTGTGATTGCGAGACAAAATCCAAAGCCTTACAATGTAAGATACATTACATTAAGCTTCTTTAAGAAATCCGATACTCTTAATTACTACAAATCCATTCGACCCGGTAGAGATACAGTAGTTAAAATACGTGCTTTAAAGTATGACCCATCTGGAAAGATCTACTACAAATTGAGGCACACTGACCCCTGGGATCAACTAAATCAGAGAGTTAAGCTGTCACCATCGAGACCAACACAGAGCTTACCAAACATGTATCAAGAAAGAAGGAAGATAAAAAAGGAAAAATACGATCATCTGAAAATTTTGAAGAAAACTCTACTTCAAGATTACCATACCTTCTATGATAATCTTCCCTACGAGGAAAATTAATTTTTCACTATAAACTATGTTCTATGTAAATACATAATATAATACCTAAGTTTAGGTTTTTCTGGAAAAATACGTATATCCCCTACCATAAGGACAAAAATTGCGTAACTCCTTAAAGAAACATAGTTTTATACTTAGCACATTTTTTTTGTTTTCATCGATGTGTGGCAGTTTTTCCAAGAATTAGTATAAATTTCGATAAATTATTACATAAACTTAATATACAGGAAAGTTTTTTGTCTCCCCTGAAAAATTTGCCTTTGGGGAGATAAGTGATTTTCTCCGGAAGGCGACGTTGTGTGGTTGTCAGCGGCCATTTTGTGAGGGTGCGACGTGGTTGCCAGATTGTGCATTAATATCCCGTTTCACCCCCCTGATCCCAGTAGAGTGAGCTCCGCCAACTGTTGAAATATACTCTACTATGCTTTATAAGTGTATTCGTGGAATTTTTCCCAAAATTACACTTGAAAATGCAAATGAAAATTTTAAATTATTTCCATGACGCCGCAAAATAGCTCCATCGGTACCCTCGGGTTATACATCTTGACAGTCAGAATGTTCGATAGGATCCTATATTTAGAAGTATCAATACATTTCACGAGTATCGTCATCTTTCGATCCGGACTGTGTCAGAAAGCGTGACTGCCATTTGGCTGCGACATTACCCTGCCAAATCAGACATATCTTTCAACATTTTCAAAGAAATTGTACAAAATCTTCAAATTTGTGAAGTTAGTGAGTTTCACTTCATACATTATTACCAGACATGCCCAAATCATCAGTTGCTGCCGTGATATTCATCCCGACCACTGCATCCCCACGACTAGGCGACCTGTATGTTAAATTTGTATTGATAGGGCAGCGGGTTATGCTATAAATCATATATCACAGTTTTTATGCACTGATTGGAACGGTTAGATGATACCAAAAATATTTTCATAAATAGGAGATCTTTCCCATTCCGGATCGAACAATCCATCAAAGATGGTTATAATTATGATACCTAGTAAATTTACATGAAAAATCCTCTATATGTAGGTATATAAGAGCTTTCTTATATTTGTTCATCAACTTGATGATACAACATATCTGCTAAAAATGATCATAATCAGGATAGTAAACTATGACGAAGGTCCACTATATGTAAGAATTTTCAGATACTTCATTTGCAATTTGACAACAGACCATGACGGTGTTCACATTTTTCAAATATTCTTCAGGAAGTGTTATCAGTCTAGCTCCAACTATCATAAGTACAATGTTTGTATTCCTACTTTAAATTCAAAAGCAGCAAATGTAAAGATTCATGTCGCACCCGTCACCACGGGACGTGATCGTCGTTAGATGCGGCAATCCTGCGAGTGACAGATAGATAACCCCACCAGTGAAGAAGGAAATCAAAAAGGAAATTTTAATAGTTTTTATGATTTCTGGACTTAAAAGACATTATTTGTGAGACATTTTTCATATTTTTTTGTCTATGTCCATTGTAGTTGCATTATGCATCACGCAAATGTAGGGATTGACACGTCTTACACATAGTATCTGTGTTTTAGGATGGAAAGGACAATGTTTTTATTGCTTTGAAGAAATTCATTAACCCACAAATTAATAAATAATTACTATTATGATGTAAAGGAAGATGAGGAATTGGATGGAATGTATTTTATGTTCTATTTTCTTGCAACATACAGGCAAATCCACACTATTCAAGAGGTATGTAATGACAACTTTCAATATATTGAAGTTGGTAAATTCGAGAGTGCCATGCATTAACAAACGTCCATATCTGCTACCAAATTTAACAGCTAGAAAATCGACCTATTATTTGCCGCACTCCCATTGGCTTTTGGGGATAACTGATAAATTTATAACACAGATCAAAATACATGAAAGTTGACCTGTCTTCTCTGTACAAAAGCATCATTTTGGAATCAAGAAGTGGTCTTGTTTATAATACAGTCGAATTTTCACGATTTTATTCAATATTTTAATATAAATCACTGATATTCGGAGACCCTTGACAGCTTCTGTCAAATTGCATTTCGATAAGGTATTTTCCCGTTGGTCCATAGTATTAATGTTGGTGAAATCGGCCCTTAGTGTGTTTTCTAATTTGTGTAAGTTGCAAGCAGTAAATTGACTTTTTTGTACATTATGCTCGTTTTTAAATATACCTGTTCGCTCTCAAACAAATAACGAGTTAAAAATATTGACTCAAAGCTCACTTCGCATCCGCTGCAAAATCTAAATTTGAAAAAATTCACTAATACTTAAATTTGACGGAGGCTTTCACCAATAAGGGAGCATATCGTAATGCAACTTGACGGAGTCACTCAAAGATCTCTAAATATCAGTAATTTCTATTGAAATATTGAATAAAATCGTGAAAAAGCGGCTGCTTTATAAATAAGGGTACATTATAGATGTAATATTATGTCTTTGAGGTTCAAAATTAGGATAACTTTCATAGAAGTGCCCATTTCTACCATTTCATAAAAGATACGAAACTTATTTGAATGGACCAATGTCTCACTTCTAGCCATTAGATTTAATAGGATGTTTTCACTGTTTTTGATGAATGGCCATGCAATTCAATCTATTTTTGTCTTTAAATCGCATACAGTTTTGTACATACTACGTACCTGTAGAAATATACCGATTTTTTTTATATGCAAAAAAGGATATAAAAAGTATTCCAACTGGTTCATTATATTTTGTCATATCAAAAGCAATTTATTGAAAATGTATTATCTATAAATTCACGCCAAATGTAAACTAACCGCACATTCTGCATTCCTGGGTCCTAAAACATCGATATTTGTAAATGTATCCGCATCCACCTATTATTCATCGTCTAGATATTGTAAGTCAGAATTAAATTTAGGAAAATATTTGCAAAACTTGTTATATTTTTCTGTTGTTTTTAATATTATTATAACACCTCTGGGATATCAATTGCCCTAGGAGTTATCTGCAGCGCTGCCAAACCGGGAAAAAACACAGAATTCGTGAATATTGTCGTTGAATTCATAAGAGAAAAAGCATAAGTTAAGTCGCGTTTTTACCCTCTACAACAAGCAGAAATATGGATAAATATAAATATCTAAGATGGCAAAGTTGATCATCACGACAACTAGCAACAGGCAGGAAGAAACTAATCCTGTATTTCCGCATTTTGTAACTGTAACCAAAACTTTTTGTAAAAATTAGTGTTCACTGAAAAATAGTATTAATAATTGTGGATCTTGAAAGTTTTCTCCTCTAATGTTCTAATCTAGGGATTGTATTTCTGCTATTACACGGCCAATAAACAAAATAATAAGCACCAATCACTTTGATAGCTTAAAACTGATTTGAGATTGCATCAAATATGGATACATATATTTTAAAACGGGTATTGAAAACAAATAATTCTATATTAGACCTTATAGTCATATAAAAAACTTAAAGTGGGGACAACTAATAGTCAAATATATGTATAATTAACTTCACAGCGCAACAATCTTTATATGGCCTCCGTCAATGATGCAACGATTCCAGGAAATCTATATTTTATGGTGGAAATATCGCTTTGCCCTATATATTTCTCTTCTGTTGACCATTTTTATGATTTCTGGTGCTAGCCTACTCAAAAGTTGGTCAATCTGGATATAACTGCTAGCAGGGTACTCACAAAACCTTGAACCTAACAACTACATCCCTGAAGATGGCTGTTTGATATCCAACAAACCATAAACATGTACAGGTTTCTTTATACGGAGTTAGCTTTCCATATGGCGCTGCCTGATATTTAAAATGGTTACTACTGAAACTTTTTCTGCGACTGTATTGCTTACTCTAAAATGTTACAAAAACTCGCTGTTGAAATTGCGGCACTAATTCCTCCACAATATTCAGGTTTTTGGGTTTCATTCGCTGCTTGGTTTATTGCTCGTTTTTTATACTCCGAAGCACCCGCGCAGGTAAAGCCTAAACGCCAGGGCAGCGAGGCTGCTATGAGGAGCTTAAAGTAACTTCGATAATCTGATGTTTAAACTTCCTAAGGTTAATAGAACTGGGAGAAGCCTCCGCATCTCCCTCACAATCTCGACACACTATCAGTCAGGCGGCTCCATCTAGCAGGGACATTGCCCGGCGGCATCATCGAGGAGAGCTCTGAGGAGCAAATTTTAGCAGTAGAAGAGAGCTAGATCGCCGACGGCCCACCCCCTGCGAAAGTGTCCCCAGCCTGTCCGTTAGAGAAGAGTCATCGATCAGTAAATGCCGTTTGCGACGCAATATTGGACCTGAACATAGTTTCGACACATTCTGACACCTATCAATGTCTCTGTCTCAGAAACAGTACGAACAGGAAACATTTTCTATTCGTCATTGCCTGTCAGAGCGGTCAAACAGGTAACATCTCTCTGATTCTGATTTTGACAGTCACCGAGAAGTTACCAACTACTGTACGAACAAACCGTATGTGAGATTTAACATTCAGCTTCTATTAGTGATGATCAGAATTAAGTAATAGTGCTTAAAAGGTATTCAAGCCTGAGGTTTCAATGGAATAAAGGTTCAGCTCACACTTCAGTTACTTAGGCTCCACATACCGGACTCCAGTGTGCGTGGGTTTTCATATCCATGGTGGTGCTGACCGAAAAGCTTGACAGGGATTTCGACCTTGGAGTTGCTTACAATCTTTCCTTCGTTGTATATCAGCGCCGGGAGGTCCCCTTTATTTTGCTTGGCCAACATCTAGAAATACCGCCTGAGTCGAATTATCGACAAACAGCGTCATGGAAAATGCATTTTCAACAACTAGTCACACAGCTTTACTCCAACACCTTCGCAAGTTCACTGGATGAATAAAAAACTTCACAATAGATGCAACCCTCACCCGAATGGGTGCACAATTTCAGAGCCGGAAGCAGTGGATCACCATTCATTGTATACTTCTTCAAACTAATGATTTTTCACACATTATAGCTCCTTTTAATTGTCAGTATCGACAA